TTGTCTTAACCTGGGATTATGAATGTGTTCATGCCTGTGAAAACTTTTCTCCCCGTTGATTACGTACATTTTGACGGTTCGCGCGTATCCTTTTTAACTGAAATGTGAGCTCCAGTGCTTGCAAAAGTTATACACAATACAATACTCGATACCGTTAAATACCTGTGTCCATCGGTCAGGCTCTTCACATAAAATGACGGTCATCGGTACATTCGAAGTCGACGATCCAAGTCCAGTGACTAAATTAAACTCCTCGACATTCCTTAAAGGCAAAACCCGTTACCCAGACTACGTGGTAGTTTAAGACCGGTAACAGGCGACAGTCTTGGTGGACGCTGATAACAAGCGGAAATCCTGTCGTATCCTCTCCGTACGTGCACTTTCTTCGCGCACGAGTGTGATATTATCTACCTTATGCATTTTCGAATCATCCTGTTTATGGGTAATGTGCTCTAAATTGTTTGGTTGTTGAAAGAGTACAATACATCATGAATGTCGGCAAAGCAAATTGCGGTTGAATGTTGTGATTTCTAGAATTCTACGTAGAGTAAAAACCTGGTCGATACAATATTTTCCTTGGTGAAAACCACATTACTCCGGACGTGTTCTCGTGCTGCGTTCATTAACAAACCAATCAAGCAGAATAGTTACGAAAGTCTGGGTCACCTCCAGCTCGCGCAAATGGATTCATCGTCCTCTTTCACTATACGGAGTATATGCTTATTTGTTTGTTTCACCGTACACTTCGTGATATTTTTGTGTTAGTTTTTCATTTTACGGGGCACAGGATTTTAACAGAAAGATCGTATAGCATTTGCACTACTGACTTTTCATTTGAGTCATCCTTTTCAGGGTCTGTAACCAACGACAATCCTCGGGCTCCAACTAGGAACGTCGGCTACAAAAAGCGAAGCCAAGGATAACTTCGTCATACCTCTACACCAAGTCTAACACACGTACTTCTCAGATACTCCATTTTTAAATATAGTGCGGAGTCGAAGGTCACTTATGTGTCAAAGTACAGTGATCGTCTGTCTGTCGGTACTCTGGAATCTTTCGGAGGGTCAATGCATCCACAACCAGATCGAAACCCAGCCTGCTCGTCAAGCATATTGTACAATCTATAAAGAATGACGGATGGTAGCCTATTGGAATTAGGCTTTTCCCGCTTTGGTTGGCACAGACACTGCGTGGACCTCTCTCAGAGTTAACGATTGTGGCCAGCTAAATAGTGCTTTGAAGTGCCCCGTCCAGCGTATAAGACATCCTTGTTGATTGTGGATAGGCGAGCCGTCACCTTTACAGATCATTTTGCTCACATCTAAAACTTTCCTACCGGTAACTCGGATGAGATGGAACAGTTTTTCATGGTGACAGCACGTTCTATCTCTGGTGTGCATTGAGGTCACTAGATTCCACGGTCTCTGCATAGGCTTGCATTAAGTTCACGTTTCGTTGTAAGTCTTGCTTCGGAATCGATCGACGTGCTTCAAGAAACCGTAGAGACTCTGCGGGAATCCAGAGTACCACGAAGATGTTTCTGATCACAACTTACTGAGCCAACAGAACACCTGGCGCTCTTGATAAGCGACTATTTCTGATTGATATGGCTTATTGCAATGTGGTCTGTATGCGTCCGTCGTTGACTCGACGCCAAATGGCATTTTGGTGTTTGAAGTTCGTACTGCGAAGGAATAGGCAGTGGTCAGAGCATAGAGCAAACAGCCTTCCCCCGTTTTGCGAGTGATAGGAATCCAGCCCGAAAGGGTCCTCTAAATGCGCCTCGCTCGACCTTCTCTAGCAGTCGCATCACCACGGTTCGTTCTATGCAAGAGATATCGTAGTTTTGGTGGGAGATATCTTTTCCTGTATCTGTGCTAAAGTTCGTAGGTGCGCATGTGGAGACAACAAACGAGTTGTCTTTCGGAATGACGACTGCTCACTGCGCAAAATGCTTTCGGCTGGGATCGGATGCAGCAGTGCATCCTTATCTTTCTCACCGAGAGCCACACCAGCGCCAGCAAGACCGGAAGCCTCTGCCTCAGGGCCCACATAAAGGTGCAAGTGAAATGTAGCAGAATGATTTGGTGGGTACGTCAATAGGATGATGGATGCAGATTTTCTTGGAGACAACTCACCGACGACTGGGTCCTCGAGCCCACAAGCTAAACACGCCTGTTTTCCTATACACATAAATACGAGATAGAACGAATTTCGTTTAATGCTTATGAAAAATTTTGGTATCCCAGATGCCACAGAATAGTGTAGGTATTATGGGGTTAATACGTAGGCTTTACATATTTCGAATTGAATACCGTCTCCCCAAGAGACTTCATGTGAAAACCAGAGGCTGATATCCGGTTGGTCTGATGCTTGAGATAAGGTTCACTCGTTCAAGGTGCTCAACTAACTAACTAACTAATCTTTCTGTTGGCATTCTCGACCGGGCTACTCTGGAGTCAGCGCATACGCTCAATTTTATGAGGTTTGAAGTCATTTAGTTAACTGCCAGTAACTTCAATCCGTTTCTAACTCCAGTTATTGGCTTTTCGCCCGAAGGTAATGTGAACCGCTTTAACCAGAATGAAGCACTCTAATTACCAGTCTAATTATTTATATCATTCTGAACCACATCACACCTTTTATATATGGAAGAAGTAGGGTTCCTTTCCCCGAGCCTCATTCTTCACAACTTATTGTTAATGAGAAGTTAATTGTCAAGCGTAAGCTTTTCCTCCTCGTTCAGCTCCAAAATTGTACCGATTAGTTGATCAAGCCTTATCTCCCGACAAGCGAATACTAACAATGGCTTTCCTGCTTCCATGTCCAAAAAGTAGACCACGATGAATCTAACCCTTTTGCATTGTGTTAAAGTGTTCTTGTCCTGCTTCCTTTTGACAGTGTGGTACCCCGTTTTCCGCGGACGATGTGATTTTGCTCAATCCTCAGACGGAAGAAGAAATCGAAGCTGCCAAACAGCGATTGTTGGCTTATCAACAGTCTGTCTCAACGAGCAGCAAGGTAGGATTAATAAAACTTGAGTTTTCTCCGCCTCTCTGATCTGAGCAGTGGTTTCTGTAACGTGTTAGTCACCAACTGACATACTGATAACACTCGAAATATATTCTGCAAGTGAGTTCATTTGAAATACACGTCAAGCTCACGCACTCCGTTTTTCGTATTCTACCTCGGTTCATTTAGGCAAAGAAGCGACCAGCCACAGGGGCCTGCTCGAGCGGATCCACATCCAAGCCAACTGTGAATGATGCTAGTGACAGTGCGACCAAACCAAAGAGGTCTGCACCGGCAACAGCAAACATTGGAAATCAGGCCGCGGAATCCTCCGGCACTCGCCAGTCCTCTGCATCGAGTTCCACTCGATCCATTCAAGAGGATCCAACCGCGAGCTCCGTGTACAAATCCCTGTTTACAACATCTGAGGAGGCGAGACGCCAGCCCAAATCTCACTGGGTCACATTCAATCCGCTGTACTTTCGTTGACACTTAACTTACACTTTCAACTCGACCGTGGTTCTCCTTTCTAATTTTGCGTTTTTTATCGCGTGTTGTATAAAACAGTGACTATTGTTCGATACAGTTTTTGCTTTGCAGTACGACCACGTTTGGCACCATTGCATATAGTTACCCTCTACAAGAATATTCCGTCAGTTTCTGCGATTTTGAGCCAGCATTTACTTATGTGCCGATTTGCCAACTCGCTTAGAACAGCACTTTCGAACCATTGCGTACGGACAGTAGAACGGGGTGAATCCCATGGTCACTAGGTCAACCAGCGCCTTGGGCTTTCAGCAACGCATTGGCCTCCAGAATAAAAACGTGTGACACTGCGTATCACCAAAGCAAACGAGCTGTGGTGGTTTCAAATACCAGACCGCTGCTGGTGAGACCAAGCTGGATTGCCCGATTTTCCTTGATTTTAACTGGAGGAGTTTGCTGGTCAAAAAATCTTTTACGAAGACAGGAATAACGAGATTAGGGAAAGGCACTGAACAGATGTAAACGAGTGTGGCAAAAAAAGAAAGACGGGACAGGTTTAGGAATGTGCACAGGGAAGGAGTATCACAGCGCGACCAGGTAGACATATACACGGACAAACAGAAAAAGCATGTCTGCGTGTATAGGGGTGGGGTGTGGATTGAGAGCGAATGACGGACAATTGGATAATCTATGACATTGGATCACGGGGATTTTCGGGTGAAGCGAACGAGAAATGCTCGGAACGCCTGAGAATGACAGTGTCAATAGGGGAAAGATGCACGAGGCGGGTTACACGGTGATCACGGGTTCTGCCGATTTCGCGCTCATCAAATACTCTTTGACACGTTGCCACCTCGACTGGGGTGGGAGTTCGATTGACGATCGGTGAGAGACCGAGGCAGCATGCACTTCTTGATCATCAGACGGTGGGATGGGAATCGGGTAAAGGGGAGAGTCCGGTCGCACTTGAGACCCCTGCTCTTGGTCGGAGCGTGGCAAATCTGCGAAAGCGAACCAGTCTGATAGGCATATATGTAAATTGCGTATCCACCATTCCATGTCCGAAACTTCGATTTCTTCGGGTGTGGTACGCTTGTACAGACAAACCAGCTCGGGAGGGCCAAAGGCTGTACACGTATCCTGACCAGTTTGGTTAGAGACAAACGATGCAGAGATGTTGTCCATGAATTGGAGGTCACAAGCACGCGTCGGTAGTTCAAATACACGGAAGGTAAGGGGCCGTTCGGCTTGTGGCACAGCTACAGCTCCAATAAGCTGCTAAAGTCACGAGGAGGGAACGTAAATAAAGGGACAAAGGTTACAAGTGATATCGGCCGTGTCTCCACGTATTACATGCAAAAAACCCACACTCTAAAACCGATTGTATCAGTTTTTTGCATGAACCGCCAAGGGAGTAAACGGCGTCAAGGAGACAGCTATTTTGCTGCTTCTGATTTTCCTAAGTCAAGTCAGAGCTCACCACAAACCACTGGTGATTCAAAGATAAGCTCGATGATGTAGTGAGATCGTAGGCGAACCCATGCTTTGGTGGGGTCATTCGCAAGCCAATGCAATCACATTTGTTTTTAATTATGAAAAAATTCAGTAGTCCAGATTGGATTCTAACCCATATATAGGAGCCACCTACTCTCCATCCATTTATCTATGAAGGTGATCGAAGTTGCTGATGACTGTAAGGCGGACCGATCTCTAATTCTGTCATGAAAATATCTGCGGGAACTGGCTCTAAGGGTCATCCTATGGCGATATTTTCTATACGTCCGAGGAAAGTTTGGACCTGAATGGCGTTTTATGAAAATTAATATGATACGCTCCACATTTGAGAAGGAACAAAAACGAATAAACATGCCTCGACATTACTTTCACGAGACGTTCAGATGGTTCCTGTTATGTCTTATGTCTAGACGATATGATCGATACGTGCTCCTCTTTGTCTAGGCCCCAACAACTGGAGAGAGACAACACTGTTGAGAAACGACAGTCAGTGTATATTCTTGATCATGAAACAAGAAGCAAATATATGCGTTAAATTGGGCATACGCGAACAGACGTGGTGACGCGCCAATCGGATCGTGACCTTGACACTCAGGTTGATCGATCGGACGACAGCTATTTGATTTGCCTTAGTCATCCAATCAGGAGTCGATTCGGCTTGGGCATCACGAGCGCACTTGTGGTGTGACGCGGGTCGCTGCGTGGCAGGACGGATTCTGTGCGCTCCGTCCTACCAGTTCCATTCAGCGGAAAGTGCATCGAGAAGCCGCACAGACGAACAGTACAAAAATTTCCGTACTTTTTTACCGGTCGGCTAAAGGCGTAACACGATTATTGTCTTGTTTCAGAGCACGAAGTATATGCTCCAAAGGCGCACTGAGAATATACTTATCGGTGGTGTGAAAGACGCTGTTAGAAAATGGCTATCAGCAAATGATTTTTGATTACGACTAGTCTAAAAGAAAAAACCGGGCTTTGCAGCTGATGAATGACTAATAATCAAACACCTGACCAAAAAAAGATCCAGCTACCGCAGTTAGGGCAACGTTCAGTGATGACAAACTCGGATGCGTGTTCTCGACTTCAACCCACATCTAATGTCAGGACAAGGATAAGTGACCTAGGTTGGCCGCACTAGTGTTCATTTACTACATATCCTGTCACTTGCCTAGATCGTACGACAGGTCAATTATCTAAACGCACCAGGTAACACCAACTCATGTAGCATAGACACGGAGGAAACAGCGTTATCTCTAGTTCGGATGCTACACATTTGGTCGAGACTGGGTGTGTGATGAGCAATATATGGGCTTTCACCATTACAAACTAAGTCCAGTATCATAAACCCAAGGCTGTTCGAAGGCTAGCAACAGCCGAGGCAATTATCATCCGCTTGTCGAAGTCAGACTTGTGTGCACACACAAAAACACTTGTTCAGGTGATCAAACTCCCCTGGCCAAAAAGCGAACACTTGTATAAGTGAAGCGACGACCCAAATCAGTTCAGTTTGAACAACCATTAACCATGCACTTTCGTGCGCCGGCTTTGGCTCCTGTCTACTGGGTGCCATTTGGATGAATAACAGGAGAAGAACAGGAAAGTTGAGAGTAGATTCGAAGAGAAAAGTGAGAACTCCCGTAAATTATGACTGCAAAAAATTGAGAAGATACAAGAACGCCACTGTTTACAACACCCAGCCATATCATTCAGTCTCTGACCATCGGGTACGATCTTCTCGAGGTCCCCAGCCAGGGAGCCTAACGGGACCTATGGTGACCCAGTCCCCTGGTCAAGGTTTTCATACCCCCGTACCAGGTCGCAGCTTGAGCACCATTGACTTTCTTCCACCCACTTGCCTCGGTTAACATCGCTTGCTGTGGCAACTTATATCGTGACATGCGTAACACATGCCCCAAACAACGTAGTCTATGGAGGTCCACCACTTGCTCCAGTGGGCGACCGCGGTTACCCAAAACTCTGCAGCTAACCTCAGAATTGCTCATCCGGTTAACGCACTAGATTCGTGCAATGCTGCGTAGACAAACACCGACAGTCTATCCTTATGCTGTTTTCTTAATAGTCAAGTTTCTCCGCCGTATAGCAGGACCTGCCGAACTGCTGCGGTATACACTGGACCACTCACAGACAGCCGAATATAACAACGATGTCTCAAGTTGGCAAATGCCAACCTAGCCTTCTGTATGCGAGCTGACACTTCATCCGTGATGCGTCCACCGGGTGAGATATAGCTGCCTCAATAACAAAACCTATCCAGTTGCTCTATTACTACTCCAGTTAGAGTGAGGCTCGGTGCTGGACCGATCCAGCCTTCTAGAAACATTTTACACTTTGAAGGTGCAAAACGCATCCGTGTAGAATTCATCCTTGATTTCAGGTATACTGCAATCGGTCGGTACATACGCCGATACGACGAATAAGCATCGATGCTTCATTCTGTAGCTGTTGACCCGTGCTGAACCGTCGAGACGTACAGCGCACAATCGGCTACTGACTGGAATCCAGTCAAGAAGCGAGCACTCAGCCTTGGCACTTAACGCAATCCCGACACCAGCAACACCGCGAGCTTCGGATGCCGAATCACCTGACACACGAAGAGTGAAGCGTGAGGTTGAGGTTGGATCAGGAGAACGCAGGGAGTTAATGGAAGCAGTGTCTTGCATGCGTGCTTCGGAGACACAACATACTTCTAAATTGAAAGTTTCAAGGGTTCTAACTAAGGTAGCTTGTTGACCGATCTGATAGAGTGTGCGAACATTGAACGCGGCCAAGTGAAAAGGGGATTTTGGCTTTAAAAATCCTATAACTTCTGAATCTCTGGCCTTGACGGTAAAACGCTGAGTGATATTCGATGAGTGGCGTAAACAGGAGGCATCTGGGATTAGTCGGGGTTGAGAAGAAGAACTAGTCAGAAGGGAAGGATCGTTTTCCAAATAGGTGCCTAAGACTTTAGGGCACGGCATACTTCGCGGCAGCCCACACCGACGAAGGGGTTTTTCTTTGGGAACCCTAACCGGAGTCTTCGACTCAAAAGTTTGACCCACAAGACAGTGGGGCGTAAATCCAACGCGGGAGCGTGAACGAAGCACCCGTGTGGGAGCTTCCTGAGACCTGTCACACAAGGTCTTTGAATTTCGGTTAAGTTTGTTGTTCGCTAGTGCGTTGATTGTCGATCCGCTTTTCGGGATCAGCCCTTAGCCTCATGCACTCAATGAGACAAGCAGGACGTGGACGGGACAGCACCTTATTGGTTGCGGGCTTCCCAGCTTGGGCGGGCGGTAGCTGTCCAATGAAGTGCGAAAACCTTCCACCGTCGAGAGGAAGACCCAGGTACCCCGCTCTTACGTCCATCTAGCGGGGATTTTTCGACCGGTAAACTGCCCCTCATCGTGTTTATTTGCTGGAGTGACCTCTCTATAGGCGGGTATGGATTGAAGAAGGAAGCCAGGAGGTACCCAAGTAGCTGGCTTTGTGAAACTGAGCTTTGTCTGGCCTTTACCCGTTGACGTTTCAGGCATGATTGGATCTAGGGCTGTGAGAAGCCATCCTGCATAGCTCGCAGGGTCATTGAGGCACGCAAGCCATCACACCACGTCAAGGTATAGTCTCTTCTTGATAGTGTGAAGGACTGAACCATCAAAGACGCGGTATTTGGGGATGTAAGGATAACCTCTATATTTTCGCTATGTTGGTGGACGGCGGGGTTTGAAACGCGATCATACCACCTACTTTTGCGATTTTTATGGAGCATCAGTCGTCAAAGCTGTTCATTTTTTTCGTATCGAGCACTCAAAGGATGAGGCAAACGTGCCGTCTTGTGTGGTTTAGTAATTCGCAAATCCGCAAAGGCTTGTGAATTTGTAGTCGATGTGAAGCTTGACGTCGACTCTGGGTTGGCCCTTTACTGCGACCGTCGCATATGTTCTGACGTCTTCCCGTCGACGCGAATGTGAAATGTCGGGGTTAGGGAAATTGCGGAGAACTTCAATTTGAGGTCATCTCCAGATCGATAAGTTGAACTTTCTACCAGTGACCACTGCTTACTGTTAGTTCGACCTAAAGCTTATTCACATAGTGCGTACAAATCTTTCACCCCTATCTGAGCACATCAAATTTCGTTTTCGTAACTTCTCAGCTGCACGTGTTTCTCTCCTGAATGAATCGCTCAGACAGGCCTCCCGATGGTTTTCATCATCTTCTCTGCTCACATGTTTCCCCTTATACACCCAAACAATCAATGCCATTTTTAATCACTGCTGCCCTGTTCAAAGTATCTATGTGTCCAACGGAAGAATAAACTCTGCCCTACTGAAGTCACTGCGACGACAAAAGGAACGTGCGTACAAATCTCACAATGCTTCAGCTGTTAAGTATTTGTCCAGGCTTATCAAAGCTGAAGTAAATAGATTGAACGCATTATTCTCTGATCAAATTCTGAGGACTGGAAACGGCAAACATCTGTGGCAAGGTATAAGACTTCTCTGTGGAAGGAAGAAAGTACGGTCGAACGTAGATGTGGACGCTGATGATCTCAATGCCGCATTCCTGCGCCAATCATCGGACATTCTTCCTGCCTACTCGTCACAAAATGTTTGTAACGTAGAACCATCATTCTCATACTGTGATGTGTTAAAACTTTTAGAAAGTTGCAA